CACGCTTTGCCTCGCGAAAAGGATGCGTATCGCTCCGCTCCGCGATGCGGGAGGATCCGAAAGACTCGGGACGCTGACGCCCGGTGACTGATATGTGGACAGCGTGTCGCGCAGAAGCGCGGGGGGGCAAGAACACGCGGAGCGACACGCTGAGTCAGAGTTCCGGACCCTAGGCACGCGCGCGCGGGGACCGCACGCGATGGGCACGACGATGGCGTGGGGCGCCGCGCGAAAAAGGTCGCATTTGAGCGTGACCTAGCGCGGGCAGCTGCCGCGAGAATGTCAGCGGGGTCGAGCCCCTTCTTGAAGTCGCTCAGATGGGGCCTGCTCGGCTGGGCGTCGAGAAAGAATCGCCACGGGCGTCTTGGCGCCCCGATCTTGGCCCACTGGCCCGACTCGAAGACTCGTAGTAAAGGTTGTACCGAGGGCTCCAGCAATTCTCCCTCCAGACACTCCAGTGTGGGGTTCTCGTTTGGGTGCGCAAGGCTTTGAAATCTCCTGCTGGACTTTTGTCTGGTGTTCTGTATGTTGTCGTCCGTATGGGTCTCTCGCCTCACCAACCAATCCTGTCCCCATTCTACCGTCTACTAGGCGGGCCGCCCGGGCAACAACAAACACAACTGGGGGAATCAACTTCGAAATCCTGGCCGCTCTAGCAAAAGAGGCTCCCAATACCCCCAAAAAAGCTTGCGAAGGCACCAGAAGGCGAAGAACGCCTGAAGTAAGACGGTCCCAAAGAGTCCCAAAATGGCCCAAGAGGGTACCAGGAGGACCCCATGGTCAAACATAGCACGACGCAGCCCCAAGATAGCCTCAATACGGTCCCAGCGAGCCCCTCCCCAGTGATCCCTGGATCCCCCAACAGCCAGGGAAACAAGCAGTCCACTGCCGTGGCCGCGCCGGTCGGCCGACGTCTCACGACACAGGCGTTCTCAAAAGGCAACCAGGGCCGCGATGACTTGTCGTACAGTCGGGGCGTTGACCTAAGGAACCCTAGATAAGGAACGAGGCCCCTTTCATCCACAAGTTGAACTTCGATTTCCCATCGAAACCCAAAGGAAAACCCAAGGCAAACTGTGAAGCAATCAAGGAACACGGAGCCCCTCCCCAACGAAAAGGGTTCCTTCTTCAGGGCCCCGACTGTAGCGTCGTCCAAAAACCTGTGACCGAACCCGGTACGTCCCCGCAGAGCGCCGACCACACCGCCCCCCACGTGCTGGGGAATCGGCCGGGCAGTCTGCCAGCGCCCGTGCAGAATGTGTGGACGGGCGGGGGCGGGGAGGTCCAAGACTGGGGCGCCCAAGAGGGAGGGGGAGGGGGAGGGGGAGGAGGAGGAGGAGGAGGAGGAGGAGGAGGAGGAGGAGGAGGAGGAGGAGGAGGAGGAGGAGGAGGAGGAGGAGGAGGAGGGAGTGGGGCCCCAAATCATGCCCAGGGGCATGCGCGCGAGGGGACGTCTGGAAACTCGCGGGCTTCGGCGGTGGACAAACCTCCCTTTCGTAAACCACCCTTTAGTGAAATCGGCCTAGGAACGAAACCGACGGACCTGGCCCCGCAAAAATGACGGCCGCGACGCCATTTCGCGAACCGAAAATGGCCAATTCACTAATCGACGTGTCAAGGTAGGAGGTCTATCAACCTCCGAGGGCTCAACAGGCCAGAGGCGTGTAGGTTGACACTTGTTCTAATTCGTTCGCGCGGGGCGGCTCCTGGGGGTTCCCCAGGCGACAAAAACCCCGTGCGCAGCCCGACCAGCCCTGGGTCAGGGATGGTTTGCTTTTTTGAGCGTCGCCCTTGGACCCCCAAGGGCGCTCCAGGAATTTTCATCGAAGCCTGCAGGCGAGCCCAAGGGGGTCCGAGACAGTCCAAGAGCGCTCCAAAACAGCGCTTCAAGACCCCCAAAGAACGCCCAGAGAGCCAAAACGTTCGATTTTCATTGGGTGCTTGAAATATCTTAGCGTCACCGCCTCTTCGGCCTTCCGGCTACCAAAAAACAGTCCGAGAGGCCCCCCAAACATGCCCCAAGACAGCCCAAGACGCTCGCAGGATGGCCCCAGGCCGGCCCAAGAGGGTCCAAAGTTGGTTTAGGTCGGGCAGGTCCTCCTACAGACGGATCTTGGACGAAAGCTAGCAAACATAGCCAACTGAATGTTCAAAACCGCTCCATCAATGCTGAAAGATTCGCCCCGTGCCTTTTTCTAAGATAATTTTCGAGATTCCTCCTGGGGAGAGACGCGCCCGACTTCACAGCTGGTCCAAGAGGCCCCCCCAACAGGGTCGGGCGTTGACAGAACTGGGCTCAATGGGACCTGGCTTACCGATGTGTACCGGGGGACGCCCGCCCCGCACCATCCCACTAAACGGAACTGCCGTCACCCGAAAAAACACCACTCACGGCAGACCTGGCCAGTGACTCTGGCCAACTTAGGGGCCGCGGGGCCCTACCACCAACCGGGTCCCCTTACCCGGGGTCCTGGCCATACCCGACGGGGCTCCAGAGGCTCCCAAGGGGAGCCCCAAGAGAGGGGGGGCAAGTCCGAGCCGGCATGCCAAGCCCTCTCCCAAATGACTGCCCCCGAGACCTCAAGCAGGCCCCCGGGAAGCCCCCATAGGCCCAAAAGAATCCCCCGAGGAGACCCTCAAAGGATCCCCCTTTCCCAAACGATTCCCCTTTCCCAGAAGGATCCCCCTCCCTTACGAGATTCCCATTTCCCAAACGATTCCCCTTTCCCAAACGATTCCCCTTTTCAAAAAGATTCCCCTTTCCCATAGGCCCAAAAATATATCCCTTTTACAAAAGGTTCTCTTTTCCAAAACGATTCCCACAAGGAGACCCCCCAAGAAGCCCCTGGAGGTCCCCAAAATACTCCCAGAGGCCCCAGAAAAGGCCTCCCAAGAGACCCTAATACGCCTCTCAAGGAGACGCCTTGTTGATGGGCCGATTTCCCACCACCACTACCATAAGTAGGAGAGAGGAGGGGGACGGGAGGAGGAGGAGGAGGAGGAGGAGGAGGAGGAGGAGGAGGAGAAGGAGAAGGAGGAGGAGGAGGAGGAAGAGCAGGAGAGGGAGGACCTCCCCATCCCCCCCTCTCCCACGTCCTACCTATGGTAGTGGTGGTGGAATATACGCCCATCACTTGTCGACGATCCACTTTGGCCCCATGAGCGCCCCAAGAAGCCATCGAGGGGCCTCTTACTCCTTCAGATTTCGTCGCTCGCCACGAGCACGCCAACAGAGCAGCAGTGATGCTATGTGGGCCGCCGGAGCAAGTGAAACGACTGAATTCTCGGCGAGACCCCCCATCGGGACCCTCGCCGGGCGAGCCGTCGGGACAGGATGGTGAGGTGGAGGATCCGCTGGCCGACGATGCCTCGAAGATGTTTCGACGGTGTTTCGAGGAGGCAAAGTTTCCTACTTCTCCAGGGGCACATGAAAATACAGATAAAATGAATGCGCTCACAGAGCTAGGCCCATGTGAGCGACGCCAAAAACGGGGTCGTCTGCGCCGACATTGGTGCGAAAGCTGCCCGCGTAAGTTCGCGCGTAAGCGCCCTAATATCCAATGTGGCGTGCCGCGCCGACAGCCCGCGTTAGCTTCGGCGAGATGTCGCCACGTCATCTCGCGTAAGACCCGTTTTGATCGTCGCCCATGTGCGCGACAGCTCCAGGGGCACATACAAATAGGAGTGAGCTGCGCCCTCACGGCTACGAAAGCCTCGTTTCGGCACGGCCCTCATGCGTTTCCTGCCTCGTACTATCTTGGGGCACGTGCAAATACTGGTCATCTGCACCCCCAGGGCCACGAAAGCTTGGATTCGGCATACCCCTCACGCATGTCCTGCCCCCTGCTCTCCTAGGACACAAATGAAGACGTGTGATCTTTGTTTCGAGGGCCACGACGGGCTCAATTCTAGACACCCCTCATGCATTTCCTGCCCCACACTTTCCTGGGAAACATAAACATGCAAACGTTTTGCTTTCCCAAGCTCCTGGGACACGGAGGAGCTACAGTCGACCCGTCTCACAAGGATGCACGATGAGGATGCAAGGGCCGTCGAAGGCCATTTTGACATTTTGCGAGCGGGGCGCAGCCAGCGAAAGCGGCCAAGGATGGACCGAGGAGGCACAGATGCAAGGGTAGCCTTGGGAAGGTTGTCCATCCTTACAATGCGGGCTGACTGCATTGATTTCTCCATGGGCGCCCGAAACGCAGTCCGCCCCCCCTCGGGGGCACCGTCATCGCCGCGCGGATCTGCGTCGACGTTGCGTTTAGAACGCGATCCGAGAGAGGTCAGGGGGTCGACTAATGTTGCCATTGTTGTTGGTGGTGTTGCTGTCATTGCAGTTGAACTCTCACGACTGGAGAATAAGTATTGTTGATCCGCCCCCCGGCGCACCATGTTTTTTCCATTGAAATGCCCCTCCCAGCGCTCGCACCTGGATCTTTTTATGAAGGGAAAACTTCCTCCTCAAACTGTGCTGTTGCCCCCCCGTTTAGAAGCACAACAACAACAACAACAACAACAACAACAACAACAACAACAACAACAACAACAACAACAACAACGGCTCCCGCTTGATAATTCCTCGAAATTTACTCCGGTCCTCCGCTCCCGCTTGAAACTTCCTCGCAACTTACTCAAGAATCGCGCTCCCGCCTGAGACGTCCTTGTAATCTACTCAGGCGCCGCGCTCTTGCCATGCAGGAATCGCGCGTTCGCTGGGGACTTCCTCAAAATTGCTTAAGAATCGCTCTCTCGCTGGAAACTTACTGGCTAACCACGCAGAAATCACAAAGACCCACCAAAAGTTGTTCGATCGAAGACGAAGAGGGCGGGTATCGAGGGTTCGGGAAAAGGATGCTGAATGACACTCGAGCAGATAAGAGCGAACAATCTTAAAATGATTGTTGTTGTTATTTTGTTTGTTGTGTTTGTTGTTGTTGTCGTCGTCGTCGCCGTCGTCATTGCCCTCGTCCTCGTCGTCCTCGCCGTGAGCATCGCCCGCTTTCTCGTCCTGCTCCTCCGCCCTTCTTTTTTTGCGGGGGGAGAGCAGCTGGTCTATGCTTCGTGTAAGGCTCCTGTGTCCACAGCGCCTCGACGGAGCTGCAGAGAGATCAAATGCCTCACGGTCACAGCATGCTATCCGGCGAATTCATCATCCTACCTGGGTTCCTCTTCCCCTTTCCGCTGATCCACTGTGACCGACCCCTGAATACCTGCTGGATGTTGGAATCACTGTCGACACCAGAGCCCCACGCCCGCAACTGTTGTCCAACATGGTTGGTGCACAGGTCGCCTCCACGCGACACTGCGAGGAAAAAGGGGAAGGGACACCCCAGGAGGAAGGACACAACCTATGCTGGCAGATTATTATTGCCCAGGCTTGTGAAGCCCAGCGCCGCTGAACGTGCGAGCGAGGTGCTCAGGCCTCCATTCCGTGTCCTGCGAAACGCGGGAGCAGCTCGGCGCCTCATGCCTCGAACAGGCGCTGATCGACCGCGCGGCGCACGAGCTCCAGCCCCTGGCCGTCGAGCTCCTTGACGAGTGCCAGGACCGCGCAGAGCACGTTGTCGGCCCTGGCGGGGGCCCCGGCGCTTCCCGACGGCGTGGCGGCACCTCTGGCGGCGCTGCCCCGATCCGTGCCCCGCCCGATCCCTGTCGCAGTGCCCTCGCGCGCGCCCGAGGCGGCGCGCTGCACGCGGCGCTGGCCGCCCTCTCGCCGGTCGTCCACGCTGCTCCTGCGTGCCACCGGCATGCCCGGCGAGTCCGCGCGGGGCCACGCCTGGTGCTAGGCCGGGCACGTCCTCCCACAGGAGGATTTTGGAGGGGGTAAGAGGATCGAAAAACAAGCAAATAGAGAGTGAGAGAGTGATCGAAACATGCCCCCCAGACGATCTTCTAACTGCTCTTGACGAATTACTCCTCCTGTAGAGGGGCATGCCCGACTTGAGCCTGGTGCGCCCTTTCCGGCACGCGGTCTGGGCGGTCAAGCTCGCCGCCGGAGTCCAGGTACTGGCCGCGCCCCTGACTCGCCGCCCAGTGCTCGCCTTCGCTGCTCGGCGCTTCCTCGTCGGAGGCCCCGTCGGCTCCCTCGCGCGCGGGCGGGCCTCTGGCTGCGGCCGCGCCGCCGGGCGGAGCCTCGCCGCTGCCGCGCGAGGAGGCTGCGGTGGCGGCAACCCAGTGCCTGGCCGGCGAAGACTCCTGGAGGTGGAAGCTGCACGCCGAGTGCCGGGAGGCCCGGGACGCCTCGCCGAACGCAGACGGCGTCTCCTCGCGCGCCGCGGAAGGTCGCCGCTCGCCGTGCTGCGGCGAGCTTCCGGGCGCGCCGCCGGCGCCGGCGCGCGGTTGCGCTCGCGAGCTGTCGGCCCGCCCGGGGGACTCGTCGGAGGCCTCCACGGCGGGGTAGCCTTCCTCCCCTGGGGACTCGCTGTCGTCCACGCGGGTCGGGAAGTCTGCGAGGTGCGCGCACTGCGCCTCCCGCCGCTCGTCGGCGGTCACCTCCTGCGAGTCGAGCTTCCCCAGGCTGGGCAGGCGCTGCAGGATGTACATCCGGTAGTGGGGCAGGCTGGCGCAAGGGTTGTCGCTGAGCCACAGCACTCTGAGGTGCCGGAGGTTGCACAAATACTGCACCTCCGCCAAATCCTGGACGTTGTTCTTCCTGAGGTATAGCTCGGCGAGCCTGGGGCAACCGCGCAGGTCGTTCAGCGTGTCGACTCTATTGACGCTCAAGCTCAGCACCTCGAGGTTCGGCATGTGCCGGATCACACTGATGTTCTGAAGATCGTTGCCCCACAAGTTGAGGTGCTTGATTAGATCCAAGCGATTGCACTTCGTGCGCATGAACACCATCTCCTCTGTGAGAGTTCTGCCGATGCCGCCTCCGTCTACCTCTCCCCGCCGCCTCCCTGCCGCCATCGCTCCCGCAGCCATCTGGCCTCTGGCGAAGAGGCCCCCTCGCCCCTCCTCGGCCAGAAGGCGGCACGCGGTCGCCTGGGCCCGACAACACTGCTTGAGCCAAAACGGCTACGGACCCCACCCTTTGCTCCTTTTGGCGCTTCTTCTACTGCCCCCCATCTTCCTGCTCCTACCCCCTCCCCTCGTTCAATTCTCCTTCATGTCTTGTTTCTGCTCCACCCGCTCCGCGACATGCTCCAAGCAGTCCCCTCGGGCCCGGAACGCTGCGCAAACGCCCTCTGGCACGTACGTCACGGTCTTACGACAGAGCGCTCAGCGCGAGCTCCGGGACACTCTTGGCTCCACATACAAGAGAGAAGTGTGCCTTCCATAAGGTGCCCCACAGAACTCGTTCATCCACTGATGGCTCCAGGGACCCACTAGGCTTCCGCGGTTCCTCGCGTAGCTGTGTGTCAACGTACAGCGCCCAGAAACACCGACCCTGGACTGGACTGGCCTGGCGCGCACATCGGCCCAGAGAAACATCGGACCCAAATCAGCTGGGGGGGGGAAGGAGGAGGAGAAGGTGGAAGACGAGCATTCCCCTCATCACGTCCTCAACATCCTCCTCCTCCTCCTCCTTTTCCTACTCCTACTCCTCCTCCTCCTCCTCCTCTTCCTCCTCCTCCTCCTATTCCTCCTCCTCCTCCTCCTGCTCCTCCTCCTCCTCCTCCTCCTGCTCCTCCTCCTCCTCCTCCATCTGATCCCTGGACCCCTCCGGGAGCCTACCCAGGCTGGAGTGTCAATCCGGACCGTTGACGGCCCAGGGGCCAGACATGGGCCCCATGGGAGACCGACGTTGAGGATACACCTGCTGCGATATGTTCCCGATCCCCCGCAGCGCCATATTCCAGCCGTGGCGACGAGAACATCCAGAAACGCCAGAGAGCTGCCGAAACGACGACGTCGTCGCCGTCGACAACGACCCTCCCTCTCCGCCTCCACCTGCCCGATCCTGGTCCTCCATCCTCTACCTCGGTCTTCTCGATATTTTCCCCTTCTTCCTGCTCGGTCCTCATACTCCTCCTTCCCCTTGACACGGACTCCTCAAAACGCCACCTCCCCCGATCCCCTGCCTCCACCTCCTGCTCCTGGAACCACCTCGACTCTCTTCCTCCTCCTCCTCCTCCTCCTTTTCCTCCTCACTCTTCCTCCTCCTCCTCCTCCTCACTCTTCCTCCTCCTCCTCCTGCCTTCTCCTCCTCCTCCTCCTCCTCTTCCTCCTCGTCCTTCCTCCTCCCTGCTCCTCGATCCTCGATCCTATTCCTCTTTCTTCTCCTCCTCCTTCTACTACTACTCCTCCTCCTCCTCCTTCGTCCTCCTCCTCCTCCTCCTCCCCCCTCCGCAATCCTCCTCCTCCTCCTCCTCCTCCTCGATCCTCGATCCTCTTCCTCCGCCTCGATCCTCGACGCCCGGTGCCCCTCCCGGAGGCGTTGCTGCCCCACGCGAAGAGCGCATGGTCAGGGGCCGCGCTGCCGTCGCCGGCGGCGCCCCCCCTGCCGTTGAGGCAGAGGGGCGCCGTGGCGGCGAGCGACATCGGCCTGCGGGACCGGGGCGACGCAGGATTCTCTCGTGCATCTTGATTTTGTCATCGACACACGCAGATGCATGTATGGATGGATACGTGTGTATGTTGGCCAGCGTGGACCCCAAACCTGCGTGTGCCTCGCAGCCTAACTGTTGTGCAGTGTGTGCTGCGCAGCCTCTGTACGGTGCTGTCTGTGCTGTGCAGTCTATGTGGTGCGATCCACGTGGTGCAATCTATGGTGTGCACGGCATGTCGTGTAACATAAGTGGTGCAATATATGGTGTGCAGCTTCTGTGAAGCAACATGCGTGGTGTGGTAGATGTGGAGCAATACATGTGGTGCAAGATATATGGTGCAATTCGTGTGTGTGTGTGCCATCGATGTTGCAATCCGAATTGTGCAATCTATTTTGTGCGATCTGCGTGCTGCAATTCAATGGCGGCAACGACGGCGGTGACAGGGCGGCGACGGCGACAACATAGCCGCCAGACCGACAGACGGGACAAGACGACAAGGCAGCGACAAATCGGCGACGGGGCTGCGACGGCGACAACAGCGCCGTCAGACCGACACACAAGACCAGACGACAGGGGGCGACGAGTTGGACGCCCGAAATGGGTACGGAAAGAAGGGGTACAATGCCCACCAACCAGGTTTGTCCCAAACCAACAGCGGCCGCTGTTGGGCAGGCGGCCTCAAGTGGGCCGCGGCGGCGCGGACAGCGAGCCCTGTCCAAAAGGAACAGGAACTGATGTTGGGCATCGTACCCATTCTTTCCGTACCCATTGTGGGCGTCCAGAGACGAGGCGGTGACGGGGCGGCGACGGCCGGCACGGAGCCGCCAGACCGACACACGCGCCCAGGCGACGGGCGGCGACACGGCGGCGACGGGGAGGCGACGGCCGGCACGGGGCCACCAGAACGACACACACAGGCCCCGTTTTGCAGGCCAGGAGTAAGAGAAGCCCAGAGTGAGAGCACAGCGTTGGGCAAACTCGTATACATATCCATATGGCTGTCAGTCTACATGCTTACTATCTATATGTACGCATACATACATACCCACATACATACATGCATGCATGCATGCATGCATGCATACATACATACATACATGCATGCATACATACATACATACATACATACATATATACGTCTATACATACATACATATGCACATACATACATACATACATACATACATACATACATACACACGCATACATACATACATACATACATACATACATACATACATACATACATACATACATACACACATACATACATACGTACGTACGTACATACATACATACATACATACATACATATATACATACATACATACGTGAGTACATACATCACATTCCATTACATTACAATACATTACATTACATTACAATGCATTACATTACAATGCATCACATTACATTACATCACATTACATCACATCACACCACATCACATGACACTACACTATACTACACTACACTACATCACTTTACAACACATTACATTACATTACATTACATTGCATTACATCACATTACAATACATTACAATACATTACATTACATTACGTTACATTACATTGCATTACATTACAATGCATACATGCATACCCACAACATACATACGCACATACATACATGAATACCTACATACATTTCCTTTTCTATAGTTTGATAATCTGGGGGGGGGGGCGTCCTCCCCCAAACGGGACCCCCCGGATCGGTGGATCGGTGGCACGGGGGGAGGCCAGAAATCCTTGCCAAGGCGCGCACGCAGGCGAGTGGCAGTCCGAAATGATCGGCGAAAGGCCCAAGAGCCACCCAAGACGGTCCAGGATGGCATCCAGCTAGCCTTGGCCCCCGCCGGATGCCCGAAGATCATCCCAATGTCACCCCAAAGAGGCGCTCGAACCGAAAAACATTGATGTTTCATGGGTTTTTGTGCGATTTTCGGACACTCGCTGATTCGGCCTTCCACGCGTCCGAGAACGTTGGAAACGCACTGGCAACCGCTCCTAGACGGCCGGACTGAGCCCCATGAGCGCACGAAGCGGTCCCCAAACTGCCCACAAGAGTCCCCATGACCGCCCAAAACTGGCCCTACGACGGCTGGCGCAAGGCCTTAGAGACGCCACAAACGGTCCAAGATGGCATCATGCAGTCCAGGCCCTTGCTGGATGCTCGAAGGCGTTTCGAATGTCACCTCGAAGAGGCGCTCGAAACCCTGAACAGATTGATTGATCTGTGATTTTTGTATGCTTTTCGACTATGTTCTCAGTCGGCTTGCCAGGCGTCCGAGAACGCAAGCGAGGCACCGAAAACCTTTCCCGACTCCAAAAAAGCCGAACGACGGCCCAAGACGGCTCCTAAACTGCCCACAAGCGGCCTCATGACTGCCGCAAACTGACCCCAAGGTGGCCAGCGGAAGGTCCAAGACACGCCCAAAACAATCCAAAATGGCAACAAATTGGCCTTGGCCCTCGTCGCATGCCCTGAGGCGACCCGGAAGGTACCTCCAAAACGCGCTCGAACCCGAAAAACACTAATGTTTCCAGGATGTTGTAAGATTTACTGCCATTCGTTTCTTCGGCCTGCCAGGCGTCCGGCAACATTGTCAAATCTCCGAACACTGCTCCAACAAAATCCGAACGCACTTCCTGAATACCCAGAGCGGCCCCAGGAGGGCCCGGGACGGCCCCCAAACTGCCCGTGGAAGGCGCCCTGACGGCCAGGGGGGGCCCCAACACGAGCCAACTCAGCATCCTCACTCTTTAGGAAGGCGCCATGGGGGCCCTAGACGACTCCCAAACTGCCCATAGGCGATTCCATGACGGCCTGGGGACACCGTCTGGACGCTCCTTTACAGGGCCACCCAGGGATTCCAACTCTCCAGGGCGCCTTCTCAACGTTCACCCAAGCGTGCAACCGGGCGAGCGGCAGTCCCAAGACGCCCCGAGGACAGTCCGAGATGGCTCCGAGATGGGCCAAACGTCCCTCACACCGCTTCGGCAAGCCCTCATGTAGATTCCTGAGTTCTCGCCCGCTCAGATGGTATGTCATTACGGAATGCCACAATTTGCCCACAACCCCAAGTTCGCAACCACTTTTCTGCCGGTATCGACACGCCCCTCACCCTTATCAACCAAAACAATGCGCGAACACTTGCATATCTAAGACATTACGTCTCTAATCATGCATTGCAACAACATGGAACAACATCCGCACAAACGCTTTAAGGCAACATCAACGTACCACACCTAAACTATGTCAACAAAACATGCCCGACTCACGGAAACGGAAAGAGAAGTAGAATTGCAAGGCATGGAAACGTTTCACAGCACCTCATTTTGGTGATGGGCAGTGGCACTGTTGAAGACATCGATGGTGATGAACATCCTGTGCCATGGGCAAGGTTGCGCTGCGCTGCGTTGTGCCGCGCCGCACGGTGACATGCCAAGGGACGCGCCCGGGGACGTGTCAGGGGACGCGCCGCGGGACATGCTAGGGAGACGCACCGCGGGACTGCCACCGCT